CCTCTCTTCCCAATATTGCTCACTCTCAATCTCTCCCTCTACCTCTCCCACAAACTCACTCCCTCTCAACCTCTTTCTGTACCTCTGCTCCCAATATCACTCACCCTCACTCTCTTCCCCCAACATCACTCACTCACTCTCTCTCCCCCCCAACACTCCTCGCTCCTCTATCTCAGCCTGCCCCCTCACGTTCCTTCCCCCATCTCTCTCTTCCTTGCCACTCCATCCCTGCCTTTACCCTAACGACACCCTCCTCTCTCTCTGCCTCTCCTTCATTCCAATGTCCACCTTACTACTCAACAAGGGGAACCATCGCCTGAGGGATGTGAAGGTTAAACCTTACTCCAGGTGAAAGACGGACTGTTCCCAAAATATAGCGAACGAGGGTTGCGGGGTCAGGGATGGGGACAAATCCGCCCCCTCTACCCTCTCTATATTGTCTGGTGTAACAATCTTATTGTCAATTAATGCAGATATTTGCATACGGTACATAATTTCCTTGGGTAATGGTGGGGGTGGGTGGGGGGGGGGGGCATGGGAGATGGGGAGGGGGCACGGAGGGTACTTGTGTCTTCAATGCTGGCCCCCCAAAACTCCACCCCCCACTCAAGTGTAGCAAAGACACTCTTCCACTCCGCAAAGGGTCCTGCAAACCATCAACATCCTCACCATTGCTGGGGGCTGGGGGTGTGAAACACAGCCGGGGGGAGGGAAGGGAACGAAGGGGTCAGGCCCTCCTCACCCTCCCTGGAGAGAGACATGCCCCCCCCCACTACCAAATCCCAGGCTGATTTGTCCCCTCCGCTCTGGGAGAACTGTCCCGCGCACCCAGCCATCCTCCACAGGCTCCTTGAACTACTGCTCTTCCTCTCCTCTATTTCTATTTATCCGAACCCAGCTCCCCCGACCGGAATTCCGATAATAACCTGCTTCTACTCACCCACACCTTCCGAATCACAACTCGGCAACAATTCCCCCTCGATCCGTCTCCCCCCCTCGATCCGTCTCTCCCCTCGATCCGTCTCCCTCCCCGGCTCTGGTCCTTTACCCCGTTCCCCCTCGATCCGTCTCCCACCCAGCTCTGGTCCTTTACCCCGTTCCCCCTCGATCCGTCTCCCCCCCATCTGGTCCTTTACCCCGTTCCCCCTCGATCCGTCTCCCTGCCTCTGGTCCTTTATCCCGAATTTCCAAACCCAGTTGGGATAGAGGCTCCAGCCTGGGAGATCGGCGTGGGGGGGCGGTGGTGGTGGAGGATGAAGGGGAAGGCCTGACTTTGGAAGGAGAGACCACCCCCCGCAACCCTCAGTCACAAAGACGTTGCTCACTGGGGGAAGGGTGGATGTTGGGTAGGGGATGGGTGGGGGGAAATGGATGGCTGTATAAACTTGGGGTGGGGGAGTGACATTACCCAACGCCCCCACCTCCCTCACCATACAAGGAGATTACCTTTCACTCTCACACCGCCCCCATTTGCCCAGGCCACCGTGTGATGTAAATATGCTGTAAAAAACTGTCAGTGATGTATTTATTTGTGAGTTAGTTGGCATTAACAAGGTGGGCATCACTTGCCAATGTAAAACCCCTTCGCTAACCACCCCGCCACCCCCCCAACTGTGGGGGCTGCCCCCGGAAGCTGGTGGGACCGAATTGGGATGGGGTTGGGTAGGGGGGTGGGGGGAAAGAGGGTCTGTGGCCGCCATCTATGGTTTCCTCACAGGGGCCATGTTTGGCCCCGCAGCACATCCGTCTCGGGTCTCCCAGCGGCCATTGCGGTTTCCCATGGTTAGGGGGAGTGGTGGTGGTGTGTGCCATATTGATTCTCTCCAGGGGCCATGTTGGGTTTCGCATCAGGGCCATCTGTTTTTGGTTCCCCCACAGGGCCCATCTTGGTTTCCCCAGGGCCATCTTGGGTTTCCTGTGCGGCCATCTTGGGTTTCCTGCAGGAGCCATCCTGAGTTCCCACAGCGGCCATCTTGGTTCCCACAGCGGCCATATTGGCTTTCCTCAGCGGCCATATTGGGTTTCCTGTGCGGCCATCTTGGGTTTCCCACAGGAGCCATCCGGAGTTCCCACAGCGGCCATATTGGGTTTCCCGCCGGGGCCATCTTGGGTTTTCTGTGCACCCATCTCGGGTTTCCCACAGGGGCCGTCTTGGTTCCCCCCAGTGGCCCATCTTCGGATTCCCCCAGTGGCCCATCTTGAGTTTCTCCAGGAACCATCCTCAGTTCCCACAGCGGCCATCTTGGATTTACCCCAGCGGCCATCTTGGATTTAGCCAACCGCCCAAGGATCCTTCGGGCCTCAGTACTGACCTTTCTAGGGCGCGGGAGGAGGAGGAGGAGGGGGCGGTTCACCTCCCCGGAGAGAATCGAGCCGATTCCCCACCCCACCTCTTCCACGATTTGGCACAATCGGTCGGCCTTGCCCGCTCAGCGGAGCGAAACGTCGCGAGTGGCGCCCACCAGCTTCTGCACAGCCTCGTACCGTTTTGTGTGTGCGCGCGCGCGTGGTACCGTGCGCGTATCTATCTCTATCTATATTCTAATCGATAATTGAGGGTAACTGCCTCGCTTTGTACAGTTGTTGTTGTAATTCTATGCACCATCGCCTCACGTTGTTGTAGAAGTGGCCTCCTTTTTTTTTTCCTGAACCC